TGGCTCCAACTCCCATATTCCTCTTTTCACCAGCAGAGGACGCACTTCAGCTTTCAGCTTTTTTTAATCGTGGTAAAGCCTGTCAGTCATCAGGAGGTTCATAGGTCACATTAAGCCAGTTCAGTGACAGTGTTCATGTTAAAACAAATGATTAACTTTAACACTATCTTCCTGCCATAGAATAAAGTTTAAGTTGATGTTCCTGTTCTGAAGCAGATGCATCCGTGTGAGAAATGTGCAACGAGAGAGTAAAGGTTAAATGCAATTGACAGGGAGTGTCTTGTTTTACAGCAGGGAAGTGTGACAAAATGCAACATTTCAGTTTTTTTTTTAACCGTTTCATTTTTGAACCAGATAAATGTTGCTCTGCTTATGGATATACTTCCATGTGTTTTATAATTAAAAAGATAATGCTGCTTTAATGTAGCTGAGTCATATTATAAAAGTTTAGCTTGACCATAACTATCTATTATAAATGAAGAGTATTTTAGCTCCACCTGCAGTTGTTGAAGTTCCTCACGAAGAACTTGCAGATACTTCTGATGTTCTGTTGTCTCCATCTCCCTTTGTCTTCATGTTATTTATTGCAATAAATAAGACTTTGTATTAAAATATGTGTGCTCCATTTGAGGCATATTCATTTCAGCTTTCTCAAGATGATTGCCAGTGCTGCTACATGAAATCAACCTATAAAATAGAAACCACGAGAGTACGTTTTTAGCTGTGTGAACGTGTTCAAGCACAGTTAGACGTCAGTTAGACGAGAAATTGTGTTCTCCAGCAGTAGTTTTGTATGAATGCAGTATAACCACCCTGACATAGGCTACTTTCTCTTAAAGGTTGAAAGTTTATTCTACTTGAATATCAAGTTAGGGGCATGTTGTCACATCTGTTAAAATTGTATAGGCTATATTAATCTACAATTTAACTACCCCTATATTTATGGCTATATTTACAATATTTGTTGTCTAAAATTGTTTGACATTGGGCAGTAGAAAGTAAGATACAGAGACATGCTCATGTAGATGAGTATGCAAGTGGATGTGAAGTATATACTCAGTATACGTCACGTTAGTGTACATGTGACATAACTGATTTATATAAATGTGAAACTGCAATTATTGTAACAATCTTACTTTTGAGTGGTATTTATATTGTTAGTATAGTAG